CAAGAAAAAAAGGTCCAATTAAAAATTTATCAATTATTCCTGTCCATACGTTTAAACTAAACTGGTGTTGATGTCTTGAATAACATGTGGGTTTTTTTCATCCCAATTATGATTATTATGAAAATTGAATATACCATCCCTGGTAAAACTAGCTTACTAGAGTTTGCTCTGTTTATAAAATTCATTATATCTCATAAACGAAGACAGATCGGACATATATTTATATGACTTTTTTTCATTATTTTTAGGCGTACAATCAGCTGCCACAAGTTACGAAACAAACCTGTATATACATATAGACGTCCAGTTGATTTATCAATCATTGAAATGCCGAAAGGCCCAGACGAGAATAGCGTTCCATGGAAAATGCACGCCGTGGGCGGCTTCTCAGTCTGGAACAATTAGCCGACACACTGGAAACGGCTAATTGACAGACGAGAGATAAAACAGCACGATCGAATCGTAATTGAAGCTTCCACGGCCTGGAGCACGTCAATAGCCCCCGTCAGACGTCGTCCACGTTCTGATAAGTCTGTCGAGTCTCTATGACGCGAGCTATTCTCCGCGGACTGATCTCGGAACCCGTCGTGCAAATTGAATATTTGACTGTTTCGTTTGTCACAATTGTCGTCCTTTCCTCGAGTGAGAGAGACAAAGAGAGAGAGAGAGAGAGAGAGAGAGAGAGAGAGAGAGAGAGAGAGAGAGAGAGAGATGGAGATAGATAGAGAGAGAACGTGAATGTCACGTCGCCTCGTCTACGTTACTAGTTTCCAAAGAACATTATCGTGACAGGTTTGAACACGTCCGTTCCTCTGTCGATGCGTTTCCCATTTCTCCTTTGATGATAGTGACACAATTTGCTAAGCCTGTGTTGCTCGAATAGTGGAATTGTTAATTATTAATTTATCGAGAACCAACGCCATCTCTTCTTATCGTCAATTACTTTTCGTCATAAATTTCTATTGAATTCGTATTATTGTATTATTATTACATGTGTCACTGTCTAAAGAAACATTCGAGGATTTTCTTTAAAATTTCTGTCACATTAGATCTGGATCTATATTTTGTACAAAGTTTGTAGAAATTGAAATATTTTACGGTACTTTAAAAAAACAATTGTTTCTTTTCTAATCTTCAGAACTATCCTTTTGTACGTCTAATTTGTGTATTGGGTTCGTGTGATATGTCTGTTGTTCTAATTTTTTGTTCCTTAATAAATTACAATAAATAATTTACAATAAATGTTCCTACTGATATTTCTTAAGTTTCTGACATTATATTACAACGTAATATATTCCATTGTTATATTACATTCGTTTCGTTATATTTCGTTATTTATTTCAAACTGATATCGCATTTCGTGTGCAAATTCGCTCTTTACTGTCACGAGGAGATGATTACGATTGCATCTTCTATTTTTTGCAGGACAGTTTAAAATTCAATATATTATATCATCATATTATTGAAATAATCGTTCCAAATAATTCTGTTGTATTCTGTTTTATAATCACTAAAAATGTCTCCGTACAGTATCATTCTAGTACAACGTTTGTTTATCCGTACATCCAGAATATTTAGATCAACTTAATATCGAAATATCATGTTTAACAGCCCACTGTAAAATAACCAGATACCATCGTTTATGATCGATCAGTCCAATCGGAGGGCGGCAGCGGGTAACGAGTGCGAAAATTTCACGTTGGAAATTCGTAAAATGAAATTCACTTACCTCTGGCTAGTCCCGGGTGGAGCATCATCGGCGAAAGTTGCCAGGACAAGGGGGATAATTAATGAAGGATGAGACGCAATCCCGTAGCGCGAACCCTACCCGTCGCTCGACCCAATTTCCACCCGGACAATTTGTCAATGTACCGGAATTTTTCGATCGCCCACTCGCAACAATCTTGCGAGTCCCACGGGTCCTCATTCTTCATAAAGAAACATTTCGTAAACTAGGTTCGTTTCTTCGAATAACTACTTCAACTTCCGCTGTACGTATTAAAAATCGTGAAACGATGTTTATCAAGATTACTATGGAAAAAAAAAAAAAGAACAAACTCTACATTCTTTGCAAAACGATTGCAACTACGATTGACCCAGTTTGCGTGAAAAAATTGCCAATAATAATTATTCGAAGAAGTATTAAAAAAGTAAAGAAAACAGGATGATCCATAGTGAGTACGCACATGATCGTACAATATAACGTTGCGTTTATTATTATCGTTATTCATTAACCACAATCGTTAAACGTTCACTTTCGTATGATACAACATTAGGTTTCTATACACATTCTTTCTTCTCCTGCCTCCCACTAAATGTCCTCTTAATCTGCTTACGCCTATTTTTCTTTTTTTTTTCTTTTTTCTTTTAATAGTAGTTCCTTTTCTTACGGTTTCTTAGTGTCGGTATTTATATACAAAAGCGCTGGATCATTCGTCCATTCGGCTAAGCTACGAACAACCCAATTTTTATTCATCTCGCGACTGCCGGTTTGTCTAGCACGCGATTCATTCTTTTCTTCTTCTTCTTCTTTTTTTTTTCGCGTTCTTTAAACTTCCACTTTCGTCTTCTAGACACCCAGACCTACATTTTTCTTTTTTTTCTTTTTTTTTTGTTTCACCGAATCGCTCGTTCCGCTCAAGGAAATCTTGAACATTACGATCGCGTTACGTTCCCATCCGTTTGTTTCGAAATTTCTTTACTTTGACACGTTTCTATTCGTCGTTCGTTCAACGTCCCGTTTACGTATATTGGCTACAAAATAATTGACAAAAACCTGTCAAGTAAGTCGACAATTTCATTCACACACGTTTCCAAGCTTGTTCGTTTCAATCGGTTATCAATTACTATCCGCGTTCACTTCTCTCGCGTGTTCTTCGTATTTCCTTTTTCTTCTTCTTTCAAGAGGAGGGGGGAAGAGGGTGGTTTTTATTCGAGAAAGCGGAACGAGCACGATTCTTCTGCTAGCAGCGACAGGCACACGATTGTTCTTTGGTTTAGTAAATAAAAAAATATCGCAGAAAGGACAATGGTCACTCTTTGGCGAAGTTTTACCATCACTTACGTTATTATAAATCACGAGTACAATTTTTCTTGTCGACAATTTACGAAATGATTTTCCTGTTCTAGATATATAGAATTATGGCGAGTGTTTTTTTTCTTTTTTGTTGCTATTGTTCAAGATATATAGAATTATGGCGAGTGTTTTTTTCTTTTTTATTGCTGTTGTTCAAGATATCGACTACGATCTGCGAGATTTTGCTTCAACCAGTTTTTTTTAGAACTATGTCGAACGTTTCGGGGAAAATTATGATTGATGCGTAAATGAATTCGGTACGTCGAAAGATTTACTCACTTTTTAATAACCTTTTTGGGACCAATAAAATCATTTATTGACTGTTTTAATGTTTGAATATTTTGTAATTATTGATTTTTCATTATTCAGTTGTAGATAATGTTTTTAATTCAACAGTTGCGAAACAAAAACTGGTTCTGTTTTGTTTCGCGACAATGATTTTTACTTCGATTAAAAAATTAATTCCATCTATAGTGGATATGCAGAATGTACTTTTTAAATCCCGGTCAATTTTTGTTCATTCCGTTTTCTGCGACCGTAATTCGCAAAACCGTCGAAGAAGAAAATCTTTCAATAAGCATAAGTCATGTTCTTATCCGAAAATTTGCAAACGGATTGAAAGAAACAAAATATGAACTTCTGTAATATGAAAAAAAAAAAAAAAAAAACGTACCGAATCAATTTCCGCACCTGGTCGAACGATCGACCATCTTTGCAGCGGATTTATTCCATTTACAAAAGCGCAATCTCCAGAAACCTTTGTTATTCACCCCAACACGTACGCAAACTCTTTCGAACATTGCTCTCGACGTCTTCTCGATCAAGTTCATCAACTTCCTCAAAATTTAAAATTTCTTGTCACCTTCTCAAAATTCTGAATTGCATCTGAGAATCGTAAACAGAGGGATCTACTTTGTTACGTCGGAAATTCACGAGAGGTGCGATCAATTAGGGTATCGGACGCCGGTCGGGATATTTCCATTTCTTGGTACGTTTGCCTCGATCTCGAATCGTTTCTCTTGGCCGTTTTTGTCGCGGGAAGAACGACGGGAACGATTCCCGGAAGGTGTTCAGGCGACAAATACAAATTCCAGCCGCGCTCCAACACACTTATCATCCCCGTCAGAATCGGTTCGACCGCGATAGCTCGAGAAACGACCTTCTGAAACCGGGATGGCCCGATCCCTCCTAGCTCGTGAATCTTCTGCCCGTTTCGTATCCTGGATGCAGCTGCTCAGCATCGACGGAAATCGCTTGGCCAACGAAATCGAAACACCGGTAAACCTTTATCGATCGTTTCTCTCCGTGTTAATTGTCGTGTCTGTTGGCGATTATCAGCGCGCAATTTAGCTTTCAAGCGTTGGACTGGTTTGGAATTTCTGTTTCTTTTCGACAGAGAGAGAGAGAGAGAGAGAGAGAGAGAGAGAGAGAGAGAGAGATTATTGGACGAATTAATCGAAATTTTAAGATTTTGCAAGTTTCCATTCGAATTTCTTAATTCCATCAGTTTGTTAATTGCCAGGATAAAGGTACAGCGTGAAAGCTGTCGAAAAGAAACTTGTCCAATTCTTGTTGGATAGCAGGTTATTAAATAAAGTTCGAACAAATCCAATCGAGTTTCCCCCGAAAGTTTCTCCCTTCGGTAAAATTAGGAATGGCTTTGAATTCGTACATTTCCGGAAATGATCGTTACGATAATTCGAATTAAAACAGAACTCTTGATAGTCTTACAATTAATCGTCTTTCAGTTTTCACTTCGTTCGTCGTTTCGCAACGCGGAGTGATGAAAGATCGTTAAAGTACTTGAGGAGTTCGCAGATCTGCAGAAACTTTGTCTGCCATTCTTTTCTTTTTTTCTTTTCTTTTTTGGACGAATCGGAGTTCCCTGAACGGTGACCTTGTCAAGCCTTGTAAACACTGTGGTTTTTCTGCCTGCTAGCAAATGTCCGCGTGAACCTGTCGCGTCGAAAGCCAAAAATGTCTCTGGTTTGCGTGGTCGGCCAGGATTCAGATGACGTTGTGCGATAGGGTGCCGTCGTCCTGCCACGTGTTCGCTGGAAAGAAAAAGTCATCTTTTCAGATTCTCATCGAGACGATCTCTTCGCTAAATGGTAAGAAGTGTAGGGGCTGCACGAGCCTGGATAATATCCTGGGTTACCTCTATAGTGCATGTCCTGGGCCATCGATGGACACTTCGCGTCCGGTCGCTGTCGGGAAAAGAAACACCAAATTTTTCGTTAATTTTTGACTTAAATCATAATCAACGTAACACTCCTGCTCGAAAATTTAGACGAAATCTGTTTGTAATTATTGCAGATTTTCAATAGATCTTAGTAAATAGCAATTAGTATTATAAATAATAATAATATAGTAGAGGTTTTTCTTTATCCGAACTATTTTTTATCTTAATATTATATTATATTAATTTTTATAGAGGTTTTCTGAATATCTTAATATTGCATTGAGATTATATCAAAATTATACAATATTGTGTTATCAGAACAGAATGTCTGCTGGTAATTGGAAACTCACATTACTTATTGGCAGACATTCTAATGACATGTAACGTTTGGACATTAAGATATTCGAAAAATAAAGTTTCGAACATCGAGTCCCTGTTACATTTATTTAAGAAAGTCCTAAAGTTTGGAATTCTAACACGCTCTGACCTTTTCGATGTTTTCGAAATCCCAACGTACTCTAAATTCCCGAGCAGCAATGCACGTCCAAACTCTAATACCGTATCAATATCTAATATCCATGTAATAAACGTCATTTATTTGCTTCATCATTAACGAATTCTAGATTCTAAAATCCAATTAAAAAAAAAAATACATAGAAAATGAATATCGAATATCATGCCTCGCGTTTGAACTTGGAGCGATCGACGTAATTGAATTCACTTTACACGATCAAGATTCCCCGTCGGTTAACGCGATTAGTCGATGAAAAATTAGCAGAGGAGCAACGCGTGACTGGTAGGAACGAGGTAGGGAAAGTAAAACGAAGCAATTCACCTTGTGAAAATCAATGTTTGTTCGTATAGTCCTGTAATGAAGATCCTGCAGCGGCCTCGAATTGTTTCCCAGGGGTGCTTTCGGGATGGTCGACGGACCTTGCATTAGTTTCCTTAGTGCGTAAAGCTGGAAATGGGATTAGGATTACGATGTAACGATGCCGTTCCCTCGTTCAATATTTAACCATAAAGCAGAGCTTGTTAAGTAATGGCGCGGTCGTGAACGTGGTGGGGGTACGAGAATAAGGGGTGGCGGTGGTGGTGGAAGCCCCAAGAATAGCCCCGAGGAAACGGGAGTTGAATCTCGAAAGTAATGTACTTAGGCCATCGGTGTTGGTGCTGCCTGACACCTTATTAAATTATTTATCGCCCTGCGATTAATTTTGCAACAGCGCAAAGGAGATTAATAACACGGGCCAAGGATTTACGCGAGTTTCTTTAGAAAATTTCGCGCGCGCTTTCGCCCCTAATCTCTCGAGCAGAGATTTCCCGAGAAGGTCTGGCCTATACACACGAATGTCTACTCGAGTAAGAATAATTAAGATAAAATAAAATAAAAAAATACAACGATATTAAATATTTTATTCTGAGAAATGTATTGTACATTGTGGTTAATGTACATTGATTTTTTTTTTGTGAGATCGTGTATATATATTCTTTGAAACAACTGTAAGAAACGTTGTTGGTAGTTTTTTGGAGTTGATAAGTAATTTTAAATAACAAATTAATCAAGATAAACATCTGTAAAACATCAAAAAAAAATATTTAAAACATGGATGTAGGCTTCTGCCCCTACGATGTTAGAGCAACGATGATATTAATCCTTTTTTGGGCAATTTTAAGAGTTTTTTACTTAACTTATACAATTACATGACGTTATAATACGATACCACTATCAGCCATGATTGTTAGAACATCTATTCTTATAGTTATATTTATTGGAATTACAGCAATAAATCTATATTCAAAAAAGCGCAAGTAATTTAAGATCAAATTGTCGAATTTTGCAAATGACCCCCGCAGATACACTGTTTGCGTAGGAAATATAAGATGGAAGGTTAACTAATTGATCAGTCGGCACACAGAGAGGGGCGATAAAAAAGGCTCGAGCGAGGAATACAAATCGAGGTAGATAGGAAGAAGGGAAAGAGGATCAACACTTACCTCTCGCGCTGTTACGTAAATAGGTTTGTTGAGGATCAGCCATACCGCCGTTTCCCAACAGCCTGGGTGAGTCGTGCTGCCCTCGTAAGTCATGTAATCGTTCGTGTTTGGAAGCAGGCTCTTCAAAGACAGGTGACGTACAGGTGCGGAATCACCTGCACAGAAAGACCAATCTTTCATCAGAACGATATATTAGAATGTGTCGAAAAATAGAAATATATGAATTAGAATTCAATTAGAAGGTTCAATTTAATTTTGAAATTATTTAAAAGAATAATCGATGTTGCTTTTAACGTCACTGATTTTTTCTGAAAAGCAACTTTCCAACTTGAGAGAAACGTTATGTGTTACATATGCGTGTGCTCTGCAATCTAGAATTATTCACGATTCGTAGTTTTCTTTCAGCTTCACATTCACTCGTCTTTTCGAAGCAATAAGAATTCCAATTCTTCAAATTCATTTGACTCGACAAATAATTGTACGCGAATATGGAGCATTCGGGGAAGAATTCAGATAAAATTTACTCGAAGAGACTTCTCGTTGAAAACTGAAACAGTTATTACCTAACAATTGACTTGGTGAAAGAAACAGTGCGTACAGTGATTTATTAACCCCTTTGCATTCGACTGTTCCCCGTAAGGCGACATCATACTTATAAATTTAGCTAACTTCCGATGCTATATCATTTTATTTCAAGTGATACTTCACTCGCTATTTCGTAAATATAAATTGCTGATAGACGATAGAAAAAATGTTTCCGAAAAGGTAAAGAGTTAAAATGCTCTTTAGAAATTCGCAAGTTCCTCGCTTATCCTCGAATTATCGAAGTCGACTTAGAAAGTTCTCTCGCCCCGAGTATCCCGATCGATTCAATAACAACCTCGCCACGTATCGAGAGCTAATTTTCAATTCTAATGCGTCGCGCTTTCGAATTTTCTGTTTTCAAGCCACGTGACGTATCGCGTTCGTGCCGGGGTGTTTATTATTAAATCGATCTAACGAAATCGATGCTGTCCGATCGTTGTACGAGCGGCAGCATCGTCTGCCTTATACGGCAAAGAGAATGAAGGCTGAACTTTTCGAGCTTTTTCTCTTTGTGCGACATAACGAAAGCGCATCGGTAAACAGCCGGAGCGTCTGTCGTCTGAATTTCAGAGTATTTGCATGCTAAACGATCAAAATTCGGCGGGTTCTCTTATTCTATCGGTAGAACGCTGCGTTGCATATTCAGCAACGTTATTTCGAATGCGACAAAATTACTCGACATTCGTCCGAGGCTACTCTTTGAACTTCAACTCGCGAAACAGACAGCCTGTGGAGGGATGGAAAAAAAAAGAAGAACGGGAGATCTCGCTTCGCCAGTGCCAAGGGAAAGAAACTTTGTACGCCATATATACATACATATATATATATATATACACATATTGTTTATTTATTTATTTATTCGCGGTAAATGGACGCGCGGCATCTTTTATACAACGAGGTCGTAACATCGACTGTTGTTACTACTGGTAACAACCTCATACTGTCTCTTTTATCACTGGAATATCTTTTATGCGTGTTTTTGTCTGGAATTTCTGTTGGGAGTATTCATGCTTTAACTTTTTCTTTTTCTTCATACTTCGACGCTGCTTTTTAAGCGCAGGAATTTTCTTATTTTGCGTGTTTTTGCGTTGTTCTTTCCTTTTTTTTTTAATTATTAGGATAGCTATTTTTTCGAGCATTAGAATTTTCTCCTTTGGTGTACTTCTTTTGATATTCGTATTGTGAAAGTTTTCCTTTAAAAGAGATCTCGGAATATCTCTTTCAGTTTGGTCGAATTTCATTTTTAACACTGTAGTCTACTGTCGTACTGCTTCATTCATTTCTTGCAATTTGTACCTTTTTTTTCATATTTTTGCATCTTCTTCTCTCGGTGATTTCTTTTTGGATATCTCCGTACTGACTTCCTACGCTCCCGTACTTCATCCTGGCTGATAGTAAGTGAATTATAATCGCGCGCACTCGAAAATAACAATCTTCTCCAGTTTCATTCTTTCATGTCGGGTCTTATCAAGCATTCTAGACACGTCGACGGGCACATTTTTCTTGTTCACGGATGTACAAACTTACCAAGAACGTTAAAAAATTACAACTCGCGTATTTATTGTTTTTTCCTTTTTCCATTAAGCACGCAAGTTTTCCCTGTCGATCGAAGCGTGAAACGAGTTTTTCGAAATACCTCAAAAACTACTTTCAGACTTCTATCTGATTCACCAAATTAATCACAATTAACTAAATTAACTAGATTGATTGCAATTAATTACGAATACCGTCAAAAAATATCGCAAGCCCTCAGCTCATTTTAAGTATCAACAGATATGTGAAACGGCCACTTCGTATGCCTTCGTATTTCCCTTTGATTACGTACGTTTGTACGTGTCAACAATAGAGCACAGTTAAAAATTATCATTTCCTTCCTCGCGGTTTCCCTCGTTAAAAGCGCTTTGCCGGTTCATAACTGACACCGGACTGTTCACGGATGATTTGCGCAAAGTTCGTAAGTAGAGACGTGCTCGTAATTCCCACTGTTGTGTATAAATCACCGCGGAAGAGCAACAACAACAAATTGTTGGCGGTCGTCGAATGATCGTAAAGAGAAATCGTGGTTACTCCCGTCGACCTAACGATTCGGTGTGACTCGTAAAACCGGGTGTGTATCGTGTATCACCTTGTCGTCGTCGTCGAGACGACGATACGAATAATCGATAAGGCGTGACCCGGGTCCCGAAGAAATTCACTTCACAGCGGCGATTTCGATTCTTAAACGGGGCTCGTTCGACCGTGCGCGAATCGCAGGCGAACTGGAAAACCAATGAAACACGAAACGAGAAGGAAGCAACCGGCTAATCGTCGAATATAATCGTGGAATTATACGGCAGAATGGTTTATCGAAATGGGAATTTCATAATTAAAATGCCTTTAGGAATGTTCATTATATTTTTACGCCTCTTCTCTTTCGCCCTCTCTTTCTTTCCTCTTGCTTCTACGAAATGTTGAAATGTTCCTTTAAAATGCAACAGATGGATATTAATTTTTTGCTCGGCAAGTTGTAGTTTCTTTCTTTTCTTCTTCTTTTTCTTTTTTCTTTCTTTTTTCTGTTTGTAATTTCCATAGAGTAGCGTTTTATAATATGTTTATCGATTATTTTAATTCGCATTTTAATCAAGATTCTTGTTTTTGCCGGAGTTATTGATATAGCTCTTAAGTTGATAATTATTACTGGTTCAATTACCGGTGTAATTAACGATAAAATGTATTTATATGAAAGCGTAATTTTGTAATACGCTGGCGATGTAATTTTTAAGTAATATTCTGTAAATATTCTTTTAATAATTAATAATTAATTTTACTATTTTGCATACGGTATTATATTGTATTTTCGTTCGCCTATAATAGGCTGTTAATTCAATTATGCAAAATTAATTGCGAAGATTAAATTACGTTAATTATGAATAGACTACGGATGTTCATATAAATTTATGCTTTCTGCAGGAAACATTGTATTTTAAGAGAAAATCACTTTTATTATGATAATTATAGTTTTACATTCTCACGAAAATATTAATTATGAAACTCAATCTATCGTTCATTAAAAGGTATTTTATACATTTTCAAGTCAGTGAATCCAATCGAAAATTCTACTTTCATACTTTAAAAATCTGTTCATGAAGAAACGAGGAATCAAGTATCTAATTATCTAGAAACGAAACGAAACGAAACAAAACGAGGAGTAACCTGTGTTTCATTTCCATTTTCTTCAAAGAAACGCTACAGAAACATTATTTAAAATCCTTTCTTTCAAGCACACCCGCGTTCCAAACGAAAAATCCCACCGGCAAGCACAAAATCCGATCGAAAACCCATCCACCTCAAAAAGAATCTCCACTAACAACTTTAATCATTCTCATAAACGAGAAGCATACGAGCGACCAACTCAATCCCAAGACTCGAGTCTTTCTCCCCCATTCACACCCCCAGTAGCCATTCCACCTTTTAGACGAGCCCTGTGGATGATTAATCTGAAAGTCGGACATCGTTTCGTAGAAAGAACTCTCTCTCCATCGTTTTGGAGGAGATGCATCTTCCGTCGTCATTAATCGGGCCTAAATGAAAATCATCGTGGCCGAATGGCCAGTGCTCGAATAGGAGAGAGGGAGAGGGAGAGAGAGAGAGAGAGAGAGTTGCTGAAAAGCTTCTTCTTACGCGGTGGCGTCGCGACGTCGCGGTTACGAGGCAAGCTATCCCTTCGTATCGAGGCGTGTGACATTAAGGAGAAGCGAGCGTGTGTCGGGGCAAATGGTGGACTGACACAAGGGATAAATGTGGCGGCCCTCAGCCATCCGGCCTGTTCTCGTCTTCCGCGGCGAGGGAACATTTTTAGGACAGCATTCAGCCCGCTTAGAGGGCAGAAAGTGGCGGACCCCGTCAACCTTTTATCCATGAATCCCTCGTATCTTTCTCTATCTCTCGTTCAGTCCCTTTTCCTCCTTTCTCCTCTTTTCTATTCATGATCCTTGTTTTTATCTCTCTCTCTCTCTATTTTTCTTATTCCCTCTAGCAGTCTCTTTCCCTCCCCCTTTTTCTATTCACGATCTTTTTTCGCACCTCCCTTCCTTTCGCGGTTTCTTCCTCTCTATCTGTATCTTTATCTCTTTCGATCTCTCTTTTCCATCAACGATCTTCTTTTTTCCATTTATCTCTCCCTATTTCGAACTGTATTTCCGTCTCTCTTATCTTCCCTTTCTACCTCCAAGTCTCTTATCTCTCTTCCGTCGCGATCCTCACTTCTCCATCAACGATCCTTCTCCCGACTTCCTCTCTTCCTACTTCAAACTGCATTTTCGTCCCTCTTATCTTCTCGTTCTTTCATTTCTCTTTCGTCGCGACCCTCTCTTTTCTATCAACGATCCTTCTTCCGATTTCAAACTGTCTTTTTCAAACTGTATTTCCGTTCTCACTTATCTTCTCCTTCTCCCGCGAAGTCTTTCCTCGCGACCCTCCTTCCTGTCCGCGATCCTTCTCGCCAGCTCTCGCACGCCTTACATCTCAGACGCTCCTTTTCTCCATTCGTTTTCCCGACGTTGAACGGGTCGCGGAGACGCGTGTCCCCGCG